TTCCCTAAGCAACTTAATGCCACTAATCTGGTCTTAATTCCCAAGGTGGATACCCCTAGAACACCTGCAGATTTCAGACCAATTTCATGTTGTAATGTACTTTACAAAGTTATGTCAAAGATCCTTTGCAACAGATTAAAGATGGTACTGTCAAGTGTGGTTAGTCTCAACCAAGGAGCATTTATGGAGGGAAGGCTGCTTGTGCATAACGTACTCCTGTGCCAAGAGCTTGCTAAGGGATATAACAGGAAGAACATCTCACCTAGATGCTTAATGAAGATTGATCTCAAGAAGGCTTATGACTCTATAAGCTGGAAAGCCATAAAGGATATTATGTGGGCTTTAGAGTTTCCTGAGCAGTATATTGAGTGGATATATTATTGCATTTCACACACCTCTTATTCCTTGATGCTCAATGGGGAAAATGTTGGCTTCTTCAAAGGAGGTAAAGGGATTAGACAGGGGGATCCAATATCACCCCTGCTGTTCACTTTGGTTATGGAGTATTTGACAAGAGCCCTTACATATTATGCTAATAATAATGTATTTAAGTATCACCCTATGTGCAAGAGTCTCAATATTATAAGTTTGGCTTTTGCGGATGACTTGATTATAGCTTGTAAAGCTGATACGGGATCACTTAAAACCATTATCTCTTGCCTAAACCACTTCAAGGAAGTCACTGGATTGGAGGTGAATTATTCCAAATCTCAGATAGTGCTAGGTGGGGTTACTGATCAAGTGGCTGATGGCATTTTAAGGGAGGCTAAAATGGAGAGAGGAACTCTGCCTTTCAGATATTTAGGGGGTCCAATTACGGCTAGCAGAATATCTGAAAGGGAATGTGAAGGACTGATTAACAAGCTGACTACTAAGATCACAAGCTGGGCGACCAAGCATCTCTCCTATGCAGGGAGATGCAAGTTAATCAATACGGTTTTAATGGGAGTGATCTCATTTTGGTGTAAGCTATTTGTTATACCCAATAAAGTGATGCATAAAATACAGGCTATTTGCAGGAACTTCTTATGGGGATCAAATGCAGAGTATAAAAGGACCCCATCTGTGTGTTGGGAAGAGGTATGCAAACCCAAAAAGGCTGGGGGATTAGGCTTCAAAAACCTTGTCTACTGGAATCAGGCATGCAACCAAGGACTACTTTGGGATATTGCAAGCAAGAAAGATATTTTGTGGGTTAAATGGATCCATAATAGGTACCTCAAGTGTGATACCATATGGAACCTACAACCAAAGGCAGGTATATGCTACTATTTGAGGAAGATTTTGAATAATAGAAACCTATTTGCTGGAATGGGGTGTAATGGGGATTATTCTAGTCAGAAAGGGTATGATTGGCTCATGGGGGATTGCAGTATGTTTAGGGCATATCAAACGGTATGGAATAAGCTCTCTATTCCTAAACATCAATTCTTCCAATGGTTGTGTTGGAAAAACAGAGTACCTACGAAAGATAGATTGAACAAATATATGGAGATGGACACAACCTGTGTGTTGTGTGAAAGTGGGATTGAAGATCAGNTATACAAAATGTGTCCAGAGTATTGTTGGCAAGTGGTTGCAACACCAATGGAGGGCGAAAACCAATGAAGAAATGCTGGAGGAAGTCAAGATGATCAAGGGAAGGCTGCAAAGACAAACGGTAGAAGCTGGATTTGCAGCAGTATGCTATGCGATATGGCATGCTCGTAACTCCAAAATTAAGCAGAATAATATTATACCCCCTGAAGAATGTAGTGTTTGGATTAGGGATCATGTTAGAGTTTATATTAATACTAAGTTAAAAAAGGTGTGGCTAAGCTAGGGATGCTTGTTTAGCCTTGCTGTGGTTGTTTGATTTGTACTCGTTTTAGTTGATGTGGTGAATAAAAATTGTGTGCATTTGTTCAAAAAAAAACATAGTGTCAGGGATGTAGCCAAACAATGATATTTTTGAAATCCAACTATCAACATAGTTATTTCACCTGATTTCTCCAGTAAAAGCCCCGCCCTTTCCAATCCAACAGTTCTGAGCAGCAATCTCAATCCTGTCTGTTAAAGTGCTCTTCACTTGTTCAATATACAGAAAAGGAGGTGCCACCACAACATCTGTAAAGTTTAAAGGGCAGAAATATTGGTATGTAATGTGAAAAAATCAATGGGAGAAGGTAACTTTGATTCTTCAATTTTTCAATTACATTACTCCGTATTAACGTAGAGGATGCTCCTTAAATGATAACCATCATGAACACAAATCACTTGAAAAGCATATACATACATACATACATATATGTGTGTGTGTATACATACATACATACATACATACATACATATATATATATATATAATATATATATATATATATATGTATGTATGTATGTATGTATGAATATTATGAAAAGAATAAAGGGCCCCCACTCCCATTCTCTCACGCCCTTTTTTCTCATACGGGAGATGTCTATGGGACACACTCATGTATATGAGAAGGAAAAAGGGTGTGGGGGCAAGCTTGGGGACCCTGTAGCAAACTTCTATACTTTAAGTTACATCCAAGTGACAAATCCAGAGAGAGGGTGAAACCAACCAACATCAGGCTCTAGCTTCGAACTGTTCAAGTCAGATATTAGCCTGACTATGGACTCTTTTGTTCCATTCTGTACAAGATATCAAGGAAAAGAAACAAACAGAGCAAATTGAGCACAGTACAATAAGCACCTTTAATAGAAAAACACAGGTATAATTTGTTTTACACCAAGAACTTGCATGTCATTAAGTCCTACCAAACTACAACTAAACGCTGTAACAGAAAACCAACTGGGCTATAAGTAGAGCATACTATATGATGGATTTCTTCTGTAAGGAGATAAAACCTTTAAGAGAATTAGTAAAGAAGATAATAATACTTACACATTTCCAGTTTCCCCCAACAAAACACTGCAAGTGAAACACATAGACAAAATTTAATATTGTAGAAAATGATTAAATGCCAAGTAGCCATAAATGATACCGAATATAGGAAGAAGATACATAAACTGCTACCTCAAGAAAGTCTTATGAAGTAATAAAAAAAACTAAAATGAAAATTTATAAGGGAGGGGACTCAAAGAGAGAACAAAAAAATCAAATCTACTTATAAGAGATGTTTTTTTTGAAAAAATGAATTTCGCACTAAAACTCAAAATGAATTCCTTCTGTGTTTTCGCGTTTCTTTCTTGTGATTATATGTAAGTTAACTTCATCAGTAATGCACCTAATGATGCCATACTTTGAATTTTATGGTTAGAATAACTTAGAATCAATCTAGTAAATCGATCTAGTAAACCATTTTTAGGCCACAAAATATTTAAATCCACTGGGATAATAGTTCGGTCTGTATGTTACTAGTAGGATCTTCTTCCAAGTCCCCAGTTAGTCCACGGATACTGCAAGTAGTTGGAAGAAAAAAATATGCCTATCGAAATGACATCAAAGCTAAAAGCATTTGTCTAGTTCCAACTACAATTTTAGAATCTTCCGTGATAAAAAAGAATACCTGACCTGCCATTTCCCTCCATTGTGAAGTATGGGTTCCAAAGTACAAAAATAAAGAAAACATACCTTTCCAGTTCCGGCCATGGCGACGACGGATCGGCAGCCTTTTCGAGAACACACTAGGCGTAGACGAGAATCGATGGTGTGGAAGGATTGAGTGGCTGAGCGAGTGGACGAACCAGGAATAGATCGGCGGAGGGAGAAGTTAGGAGGTGCGATGGGGCAGGAGAGTTGACAAGACAGGGCCGCCGACGCCATCGCTGGAAAGCTTAGAGCAATGTCAGGAGTTAAAGGGTCTGATCTGATACGTCGTCTACGCCGCTGCTCTTGAGTGAGGTTGTAGTGCAGGTCCTTATTCAATCCCGCCTTCGGTCCTCATTTTTTTATTTGGATTCCGGTCTGGTCTACCGGTTTTCAGTTCGGATCGGTGGACCGGTTACATTTTATTTTTTTAAAATATTTTTTTTCTATATAGTTTTATAATATTGTACTCTCTTCGTCCCAATTTATAATGACTGTTTCGGTTTACAATGTTTGACTAAAATTATTTTCAAATAATTTTATATAACAAATGGTATAGAGTTAAAAAATAAAAATTACATATTAAAATACTACATCAAAAGATCTACAAAACTAGTAGTGACAATAATACTTTATTTTATCAAATTGCTAACGAAAATAGAGAAAAAAAAGTGAATGAAGAGAGTATTTTTTAAGTTTAACCCTGTGAATAGGGAACATGCATTATAATTTGGGATGGAGAGAGTATTTTTTAAGGTTTTTTCTTATACTTAAAATTAATTTAACTTTAATACTAATAGTTTTTAAAATGTTTTGATTTTATTATTTAGTATAATTTTTTTAATATATTTTCAATTCAAAATAAGATACCAATTCTAAAGATTCTTAAATATTTTTAATATGAAAAGTTTGAAAAAGTAAACATTGCCTTTATATTAGCGATATAATGCATTTCAAAAGTAAACATTGCCAATACTATAACTTAAATTTGTACTTTTCCAATAATGAAACTCTAACCCGCAAAAATAAACATAGTAAACAATTTCATGAACAAAAATAGCAAAAAGAATATCCGTTTGCCAAAATAAATCGAAAACTCAAAAAAAAATATTACAAAAAAGCAAAAATGTAGTAAGAAGAAGAATATTCCCAATGTAAAATAAAAATTACGAACAAATTTTATGTAATACGGATGGAAGATAAATATTTTATTTAATGTTTTTTAAAAAATTTAAAACAATAGTGTTTGACAATGTTTAGTGTATGTTACAATTAAAAATTAGTTGTAGTAATATTTTTATTCAATTGAATACTTTAAATTAAATAAATAAAATCAAATTTAAAAAAAAATTAAAAATAACATTTATTCGATCCGGTCCGATCTGGGTTTTACCGGGCCAATCATTAGCTTAATCGAACCTGTCCTCGGTCCACCAAATGCCCTTTATTCGGTCCCGGTCCGGGTCGGTCCGGTCCGATTTTGACCTGATGAACACCCCTAGTAGATGGACAATGCTAGATTAGGAGAAATTAGGAGAGGGAATTCAAATACCAATCAATTTTTTGTAGTTTTCGGGTTTTAAAATCCCAATTTTTGAAAATATATAATTATGGTATTTGCATGGATAATTAAAGAATTGTAACTCAAATACTCATTTTTTTTATTTTTTGGGTTTTAGAATCTCGATTATTTTAAATAATATTAATAATTACTAATTTTGCATGGGATGTGCGTCACAAATACTCCTTTAATATAAACATTTAAAATCTAAAAAACTAAAAAAAATAATTGAACTTTTTCATAAACAAAAAAATAATGGAAGGAATATTTTATTGGACAAGATACATCCAATAAAAAGACCAATAAAGTTACATTTATTGTGCTAGATGTATACATTCATCCTCCTCTAGTAGCTCTTCGATCCATCTCGCCAATGTATCGGTTACGCTTACGTCTTCCTGAAAGTGGAATCTCTCCCTCCGGCCTTATTGGCAGATTGACACGAAAGTCACCAATATCTAAACTGGGTTGAAAAATAGCTGGTTGAATCATTCCATTATAACACTGTAGATAATTTTGAACGGAGTATACCAGTGGGATGAGACTGTCAGCAACTTGACGTTTAAAGTGGAAAACAGCATGAACATGAACACATGGGCATGCATCGGAAGACCATCGGCTACAAGTGCAAACTCTATTCTCGAGATCCACCATGTAGCTATAGATAAATGATGGATCTGTTCGAGAAGTTTGACTAGTAACATATTGGTTGTTGCCATTGTTTGCAACAACCCACTTTTGTTTCGTTCGCTCACGTCTTCGTAAGATGTTCATAATTTTCAGATTGATACAAAAGTTTTTTTTGTTTCCAATCAAGTGCAGTCTTGTACCGTTTTGCAAAAGATTTAACCATTTTGATATAAGACATACTCAAAATGGCAGTGACCAGTGTAGGATCCCAGGCGCTACCAACTCTTCTAAAACCAATTGGTATTATAAGAGGTGCATACTCTAGCCTTATAGTGCATTCAACACACAAGCGCCCACGACGTTCGATTGTGACTTGGCCCACATAGCCTCCGCCACGGGACAATTGATGCACACATGGCCAACAACCAGTAACATCCGACAACCCTTAAGCATATTATTAAAACTCTCTGAATTATTGGTTGTCAGAATCTCACATCTAAAACCACCATCATAAGATAGAGCCCATGCTTCATGTGAAATATCATTCAAGTAGAGATATGCCTCTTCACTAACATTCTGTATTTCTCCCATGTATCCTTGAAATTCTTATATACTCCCTCCGTCCCGCTATATTCGTCCACTTTTGACTTTTGAAACTGTTCATCTTAGCACTTTGACTCATCAAATTTTCTCAATGTGTAAGCCTAAATATAGTCATGTGTGATCTTGTTTGATTTGTCTTAACATATAGATTATTAATATATAATTTTTATAATTTTTAATATACAAATTACAAGATAAAATGGATTAAAGAAGTGTATTGGATGGTGTGTAAAAATGAAAGTGGACAAATACTCTAGGACAGAGGTAGTATTAGGTGTGCTCCCAACGGACGACATCAGACGTTTGAGATTCGAGTTACGGAATTTTGTCATTAAGTTGTTATTGATGTAATGTAGGCAAAAGCGATTCATGATTCTCCCTGTTTGAAGTTCACGAAGATCTTTATATGCATTGATAATTTCAACATGCCTATCCGAAATGATACATACTTGCAAAGAACGAATAACCCTTGAATGAGCAACCTGAAAAACCATGCCCAGCTTTCACATGTTTCCCCGTCAACCATTGCGTACACAATAGGAAAAATCTCCCGATTTCCATTCATTGCCACCGCCAAAAGTAAATGACCTTTGTACTTTCCGTATAGATGAGTACCATCCACAATAATCGGGGACAAACAGAATTGTAACCCTTCAAAAGCGACAGAAAATGCCCAAAATGCATACTTAAAATGTGGTGCTTCAACAGGGGAAATATTAAGGTCTTGATGTGGTGAAACATACGCAACGTCAACAACTGTGCCAAGATATGACGCTTGTAAGTTGTACAACATAATTGGGAGTTGAGTGTATGAGGCCTCCCAATTACCATACAACAATTCTGCAGCATGCATCCGAGCTAACCAACATTTTGTATACAACACAAGCACTTGGAATTGCTCACAGATATCATGTTGAATTAACTTTACCTTGTATTCTTGATTGATGCACACTTTACCAACGATCATCCTTGCAACGAACATGTAGTCTATATTGTGGTCATTTTTCCCATGGGAATAATCGGGACGACATGTGTGGAAGTCATCAAATTGTTTTAACTTCCAGTATCCATTCTTTAGCTTTTGAGCCTGAGCACGCCAAAAACATGATAGATTTTTGTAAAATGTTTATTGTAGAATAGAACACATTACAAATTACGCTCTTTAGAATCGTTACACCTCTCTAATCGTATACTTTTTCAAAAGTAATTTAGAAGTTTAATACATGAGTTCTGCAAAAAAATATTTCTCTCTATTAATATTTAATTCAACTTTAAATTCTTCTATCTATCTTGAAATTCCAAAAATACAAGGAAATAATAATAAAATATATATTATCATTTCCTTTCTCAGAAAATATATGGAAATTTTTTTTCCATTTCACAAACTCTTTGTTTATTGTATTATTATTATTATTATTATTCTTTAACACTATGGAATAAAATGTTTGTGGAAGTTCATTTATCATTCGGAAAAAAAATTACTCTATTTTTTATACAAATATTTTATTAATACGGATACGGTATTACACTTGGAGATGGGGCTCATCCTTTTTTAAATAAAGTGAAATATCGATGGTTGCGGTTTGTGTGGAGAAAAGAGAATCGATATGGTATTGGTAAAAGACTTTAAACCAAATTTTCAAAGAAGTTTATTATTTAATGAAGAAATATAAAAACATTATTGATTTTTTAATATATGCGTATATATATTCAGTTTGAGATTTTTGACATAGGAAGCTATCTCGTACCGTTCTCAAATACCGTATCGATCGTTCGATTCGATCTGATTGTTTTGCGGTGTTTGTTCGGTTCGGTATTTTATGTTTTTTTTGGAAAATTTCAAATCCGTTTAGTACCTGCTCACCCAAAAAATGAAAGGATTTTTTAACGAAAAAAATGAATTTTTTTGAAACAATTAAAGAAAAGAAATGTAAACCTGCACATAGGTATCACGTGGTTAATCTCTCAGCCACTCATGAGGCTACGTTCTCTTCGGGTGAACTGACCTGAACTGCATTTTTTAAGACTGATCTCAGCTGATCTGAATGAATCTGATACGATCTGAATGAATTTGATCTGATTTAAACTAATCAGAATGGATCTGGTCTAATCTAATCTGAATAGACCTGATCTGGTATGAATGGATCTAATTTGAACTTATCTAAATGAATATGATCTGATCAGAACTGATATGAATGAGTCTGATCTCATCTAAACTGATCTGAATGAATCTGATCTGAAATGATATTAATTATTATTAGTATATATGCTCGGTTTGAGATTTTCGGCATAAGAAGTTACCTCGTATCGTTCCCAAATATTGTACTGATCGTTCGATTCAATTTGATTCTTTTGCGGTATTTGCTCGGATCTGAATTTCTCAACTTTTTTTGGTGGAAAAAAAGGATTTTTTTGAAACAAATAAAGAAAAGAAATGTAAATCTGTACATAGGTTGCACATAGGTATCACGTGGTTAATCTCTCAGCCACTTGTGAGATTCATTCCTTTCTCAACCATTCAAGGACTTAAAATTTCAATTTTCTTGACGAACCTCAGCCACTCGATTGAGTGAAGCAGGTTAAAATCTTTTGAATATTTCTGGCGGATGGAAATTGAGTTGGTTGA